AGAGAGGCAACAATATATCAAGCTCTTAAGCTTGCTTCAACCCATATAATCATTCTAGCATCCGGTAAACATGATTTGGGAATAAACACCCAATAAATCTGGAGGGGTTATATAAATACAAACCTCTCATCAAAATCAAAACTAATAATCATGAAAACAAAAGATTTGATAAAAGAATTTTTTTTTCATAACCAAAAGATCTTAAAACATAATTTTTGAAACTAAGACAAAGAAAAATAAAAATACTAAAATTCTTGGTTTAAAATCAAATTTATTTTGGTACCCAAGTAATTTTGGTACCAAAAGGTTTAGGGACATGACCCCTATCATTAAAGCTCAAAGCCCTAGGGTTATGAACCCTCTTGGGCACATGTGATGCACTAACACGGTCAAAACAATATTCATTCAAATGATCATTCCGATTGCAATTTGTGCAATGAAAGAGATCCATTTGTTTTTGTGGACCTTTAGCTCGTGCACGGGAATCATTTGCAAATGAAGATTGTCTCTTAAAATTATTTTGCAAATGAGAAACATCATTAAACAAAGGTGGTCTACTTGAAAATTTTGGCAAGTTTGAATATTTTTTCAAATCATAACAAAACTTTGCCAAATGGCCAAATCTACCACAAAGATCACATTTATACACACGTGCATGTTTATGATGAGCAATGTGTGCATGTGTGTGTGCAAAATGTGATGATGAAGCTTGATGAGATGCACAAGGAGGATTAAAGTGAATCTTAGTGGGGTTATGTGCATCATAGCAAAATCTAGCAAGATGGCCTTTACGACCGTAATTTGTGCATTTGTAGACTTTGCTATACATGTGTGCATGATGAATAGGATGTTTAGATGTTTTAGCATGAGACTTAGCACACATGTTCATAAGCTTATCATGATTAACAATACATGTTTTAAGGGTTGAATCTAAAGATGATATGTGATCCTTAACATGATTCAACTCATCATTGTGCATACAAGTATTGTTATTAGAAGTAGAACATATATTGTTATTTATAAAAGAAACAATATCATTTTGTATGTTCTCTACTTCTAACATGGCATTATTTTTAACATGAGATAAGCTAGTGATGGATGAGGTTAATTTTTTATTTTTTAAATTTAACATATCATTGTTTTCTTTAAGCATAATATTTTCTTTTACAATGATATCAAATTTGGAACCTAGCAACTCATGATCGGATTTCAAATTAACATGCTTGCTTTTCAAATCTATAAAATTATTATGCAACTTAGTGTAGGCATGCATTAATCTATCATATGCACAAGCGAGTTCATTGATGGATATATCACTATCGGATTCCGAATCGTTTACCACACTAGGGCTATCGCCTAGTGGCCGTGTGCATGATGATGCTCCACACTCACTTGAAGAATAATCCTCCAAACTATGTCGGATTTCCTCTAAGTTGCCTTGATGTGCTTCTATGAATTTCCATAAATTGTAAGCACTATCAAAATGAACAAATTTGTTAGAAAAGGATGAGTCAAAGGCATTAAGCAAATATTCTAACAAAAGCTTGTTCATATTAAACATTCTTTTATTATTGTTACTCCACTTGGATTTTTCCAAAGTGGGTATAATATATGCATCTTCAATAACTTCCCATAAATCGAATTGTTTAGATCTAACAAATATGTTAAATCTAGAACACCATTGGTCATAGATGAGATTATTTATTTTAGGAGCAACAACAGGATCATAGCCTAAACAAGATGCACAATGTATGTCCATAATAAGAAAATGTATGCAAGCAAGATACAAATAAAGCTCAAAAATAGATTAGCACAATAAGCTAACTTGGATCTTTAACTCAAGGCGATTAGACCTTATATGATAAAAATATATGCAAGGATATATAAACAACACAAGGGTAAATAATCTAAATAAGATAGTGGATAAAATAAATGAGCAATGCACAATTGGCGATATAAGATGAATGCAAAAACAAATACGCTAAAGACAAACTCAAACAAGCAATATGATCACGGAGTTCGGACCTTCCGTCCTACATCTCCGCTCCCCACTCCCGGGGAGAAATCCACTATCACAAATCAACACACTATTGTAATCCCACTCTACACCCACTAAGTGTTGGACCTAGCCGTGTCTCCCTCAAGTGCTCGGTTACAACCTCTCTCTAGGCACGTCAACCGACGCCACTCCTCTTGGGACGATCCCCGACTCTCACCACACACTCCTCACTCGGTGTACAAGTGTATTACAAAGTGAATCTCACAATAAGGCTCAATACAATAATTGATTGTTCTCAATTATGGATGAGAACACAATGAAAGCACAACTCAAAGTTATAATCTCTCACCACCCAACTATACTATGTATGTAAATACTAAAAGCTCAATGTGGGTGTGTATAACAATGAGTAAAGTGAAATCTAACTTAAATAGCAAACTAGCAATAATAAGAATATGAAAATCAATAATGAAATTGCTAGAGAAAAGAGTTAAAAAACTTCTCTAAGAGCACAAAGAAGAGGATGAAGGGGATTGAGAATGAATCCCTCAATCTGCAGTGAAAACTTCCTCCTTTGTAAACAGAAACCCAAACTCAAACAAACAGTAAAAACCCTAAACCCTTGCTTAAACTTTTCTTTTCTTTTAAAACATTTCTTAATCAATTTGAAAAGACATCAGCAATGGGGTATATATACCCACTCAAAGCTCAGCCAAAAACCCCAAAACGAAATGACCAAAAACCCCAGCAAACAGCTCAGAGAAAGAGCCGTTAAAAAGCAACGGCTATAATGTCGGTCGACCGAAAATTCCGTCGGTCGACCGATGGAAAAATTCGGTCGACCGATGGAAAGTTCGGTCGACCGTTATCCAGGTCGAAAACAGGAAATCAAGCAAACACTTATCCGGTCGACCGGTGCGGTCGACCGATGGAGCTTTTCGGCGACCGGACCGGTCGACCGACCAACTCTCTGTCGCCCAGTGATGAAAGATCAAATGATCGGTCAACTGGTGCGGTCGACCGAAAACAGATATGACAGAAAAACAGTTTTTGGAAGCTGATTTTGACACTTTAGAAAATATGTTAAAAATAACAAATGAAGTCCAAAAATAATGAAACTTTGGGAAATGTATATAAACATGAAAACAAACATGTTACAAAAATAATTTTCCAAATTACATTTCTCATTTGTGAAAAATCATCATTTTGCAAAATAGTCCAAAACACGAAAATGGAAACATGTGAATTTTGACATTTTGGCTAAACCATGTTTTGAGACTTTGCACAATGATTATATAGACTTAATAAAGTATGTATATGATTATTGTTAAGTCCAAAAAACTAAGAATATAATATTTTCACAAAATTGCATATTCTATGCAATGTTTTCGAAAACACAATAGTAAATATGAAATATGTGATTTCATATTTATAAACATGAAAACCCAAAACATATGTATGTATATATATAAACCTATATATAAATACGAAGAAACCAATAAATGTGTGTGTATAGATATTGAGCTTAACGTATTAAACACACATAATATAAACTATACTAAATTACCTAAGCTTGATCTTGATCTTCATTGTAGATCAACTTGGTACACGTTGCGGATAAAACTTGAACTTGATCTTTAACTTGAATTGTATGTAGCTTCACTCCACAAATCCGCCAACCTCCTCTTGATATGATCGTGTAGGCTTAATCTATCCAACCTCCAACACGTTGTTTGCCTAGAATAAATACAAAAAACACAAGCACTAGACAAACAACATTAGAAGTAAATTGTTTGTTAAACATCATCAAAACAAGAAGGCCAACATAAGGCATTGCTTCGGTTTTCATAATGAATGCCAGATCTAAGTGATGATTTCAGTCCATTATCAACAACCTTAAAGCGAAACTGAAACCTTTCCTGCAAATGTATCCGGAGTGAGGCACATGTAATTGATTTTTAGAGGAGATGCTCAGAAGCAACAGTTAATAGATGTAACATTATCACACTGTACTTTGAGTCGGGCCTCTGTTTTGGTTGCACGTTCTGCTAATGATAGCTTGTCACGCAGTTGCTGCATTTCTCCCTATAGAACAGAATGTAACAAAGACATATGTTAAAACAATTGAAAAAAATTTATAACATAATAGATTACCAAAAGAATATCATCAACACTCGACGTTCTTCAAGCCATTGCTTTACTGGCATAACTTTGTCGTTGGCATCTTTCCACTCATTGGCAGTAGCAACAGCAATTCTGTTTTTGGTAACCACTGCATGAGATAATGTCCTCTTTAGTGTTTTCTTCTCTCCCCGAGAACAACAGAGAGGATAAAAATAGAACAATGGATCTTTGTATGTAAAAACACATTTGGGTAATAATAGAAAGATTCATTTCCTCAAAAATATTAATATGAATACCCAAGTAATCCAAAAAAGAAGTTTTCTTTTAAGTCATGAATGATGAGTTGAAAGATATGAATGGATGTATATGGATGATATCTTCAGCTCAATAACCTGACGCTTGTAGTTTTTCTTGCAAACAAGTATTTTCAAGAAGGTAAAAAATATACAAAAACTCATCTGTGCAACCCAATTCCGGTTAAAATCACTCAGATACGCTACATCAAATTGCTTCACCTTTAATATTCGTTATACTTAGAGATGATGATAGGGGAAGAAGAAAGCCACCCAAACTCTTGAACTGGTGAAAATAATGGAAAAAAGTGATGTTATTTAGCTAAATTTATCACTACCAAAAAATGGGTCTATGGGGACGGTTCGTGGGGCGCGGTTTAAAACCGTTCCCTTTGCTTCCTAAGGGGACGGTTTTGTGACGGTTCTAACCGTTACGAAAAAAATTTAAGACAACGCTTTAAACTAAAACGTTGGGCTTGACTTAGGCTCAGACAAAAGTTTTATAATAAGCTAAGGGGACGGTTTAATTTTGTGTTAAGGGGACCGCTTTATTTTGGGCTTTTTATGTTAGCGCCCAAACTTAAAAAAAAACAATTTTAATTTTGTTTCCTATGACCGTACCCCTCATCTTTCACCCGATCAAAATCCCGTCGAAGAAACCTAGGGCTTTTTCTCGTTTCCCACTTCCACTGCCTCCTCTCCTCGACGGAGGAAAACCGCAGCCTCCTCTCCTCGGCTCCCCACTTCCGCCGCCTCTCCTTCTCGCCGACCTTTTCACCGTCGTTTCCCTCCCCTCGTCGGTTCCTCACTTTCGCCGCCTCTCCTTCACTTCCCCTCGTCCGTCAGCCCTTTGTTCGTCGACTTCAAGGCCATCCCTCTCTAGCATCCAGTGATTGGGTTCTTATCTCTCTCCTTTTCAATCATCAAACTCTAGGGTTTCAAATTTTCCTTTTTATCTATTTAACAAAATTGAAATTTAATTTTATAAATTAGGGCTTTGTTGTCTTGGTTGATATTTGATTTTAAGCATGTATATTTCAATCCTTCTTGCAGCTTCTTCAGTTGCAGAAATAGTTCAAATTGATTGGTGCGGGCGCTTCGGTTCTCGATCTTGGATGCGCTCCCGGTGCTTGGCTTCAGGTATTCACTTATTTATTTATTTATTTATTTAATGAGAGAAATTGCTCAACTGTGCTATATTGGATTTAATTTCAAGGTGCAGCTAAAAGAAATATCACTAAAGTTGCTTCCTTTGGTTAAGAATTCTGGAAATAGTACCGAAAAGATCGTTTCTTGTCTAACATTCCAGCCAATAAACCTAGATATTTGCTAATCTATCCTTCCGTTCTATGTAGATTTGTGGGGGTAAATTTGCAAATATGGTTGGTTTCGGGTTATATAGGTAAAACCCCCTAAAAGATATTTAAAACTGAAACCTTTGCTAAATTGGTTTTACTTGCTTCTGTTAAAATGAGGTCCAGTTAATTTTCTTCCGTAGTGCATGTTTAGGTGGCTTGTCAGAGTTTAGGGCCACCGAAGAAGGGTGGGGCTGTTATCGGTGTTGATATAAAGGTTGGTGACATTGGTAATATAAAGGAAGGGATTAAGAGGAAAGGGATTTGGTTTATGTTTGTGATTTTGGGTTTTCTTTCTACTGATATGCTATGTTGGTTGCAGAGCAGAATGTTAAGGTTCCATCCCATCACTGTGACTCTAGAGTACGAACAGTTTGTGCTGATGTTATGGAGCTAATGAAGAGCCAGGCTAGAAAACTGTCTCCTCAGGTTTGTTTGTTTTCACTTATATATGACATTGATTTTTAGATTATAGCGCCTCTAGAGTACGTTTCAGTTTTGTTTGCCTATCAGTTGATGCAAGTAACTGTGAAAATCTTGGTTTTGTTTGTGTATAACATGTGCTTGCTACAGGTGTGATGGTTCAATCCAAGCACCCAGCCAACCAGCATGGTCATTAACTTCTCTGAGTAGCCAACCTTTTTGCACAATGTCATCAAGTTGAAAACAATACTCTCACTGATGGTAGAAAAGATGGGGGTGGGGGGGGATCTCTTATAGTTGTCAATTTATTTATACAGATAATATACTTTCCTCTTCATTCAGGTAACTAACTATTGCTTCATATAACTTGGAATTGTTTTATGGTGCATGACTAATGTTCCTTAACCTTTCTAGTCTGTCATGCAATTTGTTCATATAACTTGGAACTGTTTTATGGTATGTGCTTATAATTCTTGTCCTTTTTAATTGATATAATCTATTTTTGGGTAATTTGATATTGTCTGCTTTTGTAGATGAGAATGGAAATGAACACATGGGGGTGGTTGCATCAATGTGGCCAATATATGGTCTTTGCCATTAAACAAGAGAATTGAGGTAGAATTTAACAACTTGATACGATTAATTAATAGCTCGGGCGCCTTATTATCATGATATTGTTCTGGTGTTGCTGCAAAACATAATCTTTGTCCGCTCGGATTTAATGATTGGAGGCTTGTGCCTAAAAGATTGAGAGCAGAAGCTGTTGGAATAGTTTGAGTATCGATCTATAACTTTCTATCTCAGAGCAAATTTCTGCTTCCAAAGGGGAGGGAAATGAATGGACTAATACTTTCAATGATCGGCAAAGCATTGAATAATCAGAAAAGGATTGGAATCATGAGAAGAAGCATTAGAACTGAACCCTCTTGATGTTGCTCGCAAATATTGGATACAATTTGTTGAACACTCATTTTCTAAAGAATTTAAGGTACCTTTCCTCTTAAATTTAATTCGATGCACTTCAATTTGTCTCAATTTATTTGTTTTAATAGTTTGTGTCATTGGTAGCCTGGGAAGCGTATAGTAGATTACAAGTTTGAGATCCACTGAATAATTGTTAGTATTCTTTTAATACAGAAGTCATGCTAAGATTTTCCTCAGCCCTCACCACTTTGAACACAGTTTTTTGTAGTTAGTGGTTTTTGCTAACGTCAAATTTCCAGAAATTAACAGGTGAATATGCACGATTAACAGAGTATTTGTTTTATGAATGTGACCAAAAAATATGTGAAATTATATGAGTCTATATACTATTGAAGTAATTAAAAATGTTGTAATTAATTAGATTTTGGGGACATATCAGAAGAGGTAGCAGCATCATCAACACAAGCTTATACTATCTGCAACTGCTTGACAAAATTAGAAAGAACTGAAAGAAAACATGAAAAAGGAACTAAAAAACCAATATGTATTTTTTTGTGCCAGTCATCATGGGTTGTGCTTGCTCTCACTGTTGATAATCACCGAGTTGTTGTTTCTTTGATGGAAGGCTCCTTAACCACATAGGGTTTTGCACAGAAAAAGGACCAAAGTCAAATTTTGGAAAAATGGAGTAGCAGTTTAAGTTTTAGATAGTTATAGCAATGGTTTTTTAGGCTTGAACCTGTGTACAGAAGTTATCGGATTTGGACTTAATTTCTGAACCTTGTCATTTGTCATAATTGCTCTTGAATTTTATTTAATTCGACTATAAGCTATGTTCTAAGTATCATGATGATTGCTGGCGGTATAAAAACTTGCAGGTCATATAAAAAGTTAGTGGATGCTGCTAAACATGGTGTGTTCAAAACCAGAAAGAAAAACAATTTCATTTGTCTGTGTGGTTTGTTATGAAGCCCAGGTCCTAAACCTATTGTCTTAAGGTTATAGAGTTGGGTTTGAGATAAGAATTGTATTTTAACTTTTGAAATGATAGTTGATAGTGTAACTTGGCAAAAGTGGACAAGTAAAATATAAAAGTTTAGAAAAAGAGAGTGCCTAAAGCATCAGAGTTTGGTAACTGAAACGAAAAAGTAAGAAGGATATAAGACCTAGCAGAAAAGAAAGCTCATAGAGGGCACTAAGTAGGAGAATGAGCTTATCATGTATGATAAAATGTTTTCTAAGTTGATGACCGCATTTGCTACTATACTCTCAATACTGATGCAATATTATGTTTTCACTCATCTTCATGTCAACTATTTATTTAAAACTGAGACTTAATATTCTCCCTATATCATTTCTTCATACACGCAAAACACTTATAACTGTTATGTTTTAGGTTGTGTGATGTGGTCCACATGTAGAGCCAGATTTGTCTTAAACAATTAGGAATTATGACGGACCTTTATCCTTCTACCATTCGTGTCTCTTCTATTCTACTTGTGCTTACTCTTAATTTCATTATATACCTAAATATGATCATCATGCAATTAGTTATGACTCTAAAGAGAGACATACAGTCCATTTCATTCTACTTGTGCTTACTCATCTTTTTATCTTGATGTATGCAGGAAAACATTTGGAGATCCATGCTTGTCGCTTTTTGGGGGATTTATTTGTTATGAAGATTAGAACTTAATCGTCTCAATAGAGACATTTTGACCTTTTGATTAAGTAGTAGCTCTTTGTTTTAATCATGGAGGATTTGTGATATGTGCTTACTTTGGTTAGTTTGTGTGTAAAACTTGTATAGAATTATCTCAATCCTATTGCTATAATATTGTTCTTCGTTGTAATAAATTGTTCATTATATTAAGGCTAAAGTTTGGTTAGTTTGTGTGTAAAACTTGGACTATTGTTTCTTTGTATGTGATGGACTGATGTGTGATATCTGGGTGATTTGTTTTGATCAGTAAAAAATGAAAACCATCCCCTTTGTTATAAAAACTGGATCACAAACAAAACTGTTCCCATAGACAATATAACCGTCTTCTTAAGTCAAGCTCGAAACCGTCCCCCTTGGTATAAAAACCGTCCCCATAGAAACCGTTCCCCTTGCTATAAAACTGTTCCCATTGCTTAGAACCTAAAAACTATTCCCCTTGCTATCAAACTGTTCCCGTTGCTTAGAACCTAAAAACCGTTCCCCTTGATATACAACCGTTCCACTTGCTCTAAACTAAGAACCGACCCCTTAGCACAACCGTTCCCTTATGGTATCAAGGATGACAGTTTACAAATTGTTGCACTAGAAGCATAAACCGTCCCATTAGACCTAAGAGCACGGCTGTAAACGAGACGGATGTTGAACCGTCCCCATAGGCCTAGTGTGACGGTTTCCATGCCTAGTGTGACGGTTCACAACCGTCCCCATAGGCCTCAAATGTGGTAGTGTATGGACATATAGGCAGTCAGATCCACTTTCTCATTGGAAAAGTATAATATTAAAAACATCCATAAATTGAGGAACATCAAATTGATATTAACCCCCAAATAAGCATGTCATTATAAGTCTTTGAATAGTTAGAAATTTTTAATACCAGAATCTCAAACATATGAAATGTAAATAATTTAAAGAAGTTTAGCAATAATTTCTTTTTTGTCATAAGTAGACAGTGAATCATAGAGTTAATTCATCCAAGGTTATGCGCATTGATTTTATAACATACAGTCTGGGAGTAAACCGAACATAGCAAGTAGAAAAAATGCTGAAGAATGTCCCAAACATGAGGGGCCAAACTATTTGCACAAGTAACTGTCATACACATCCGCTCTAAGATGAATAAAGCCTTCTTATTTATGATTATTTTGTTTCAGCAAGTCTTCTGTCCTACACAAAATTAGCCTCTGAAATGATTATAAAATCTTACCCGTGATTTCAAATTCTAACCAATCTATAACTAGTTGATATTCGAACTATCCAACATGACCTGTGTAAGGACTCGGGTTCAGGTCTTCACTACATATGTGAGTTTAATTTCTAACACAGTTGCCAACTACTACTGGCCTACTGTTATGTGAGTGTAAAATATATTTTAAAAAGGAAACCATGTAAAGAAGGAAAATAATATTTTCCTTTGAATAATTTTATTGAATCAGGAGACGTTGCTTTATACAAGAGATTTCCTACAACCATGCTAATCTATTCTAGGTAGTCTAAGTATAAAAGGCAACTGAACAAATTTCCTACAATCATGCTAATCTATTCTAGGTAGTCTAAATATAAAAAGCAACTGAACAAATATACAACTAATACAATATATCAGTCAATGAATGGTAAGATATTATTGACCTTTCCTTCTCAACACTCCCTCCCAAGTTGGAGAGTGAATATCAAGAACTCCTAACTTGTGTTAGCCCTTATGTTTTGATGATGTTTCACAACCACCATTATCGGTACTAATGGCTTATTAAGTGTAAATGTAGTAAATTCATTTATCAAGCTCGTTAGTGCCATAAATGGAGGATTGGATGGAATATGCGCTCCAACGATGATATCCAAAGGAGGAGGAGGCCAAGTGATGAAGCAACGTTATTTTAAGAACAACAAAGTCATATAAAAGCTTCATCCGATTCAAGCTATATCAAAGCTCAAGTATTGCTTTCAATATGAGGATATTAGCTATCTTTTATATTTCTCTCTAGTGCTAGAATGTAGGCAAAGAGTTACTGTGTTTACTTGAAGCTATTGGGACTCACACACACGTTTTCATATTTAAGCTTTTAAGCGGTCTTTCACAAAACCCTATTTTTCACAAGTATGAGGACCTATCTATAAAATTCTTTTTCCAAACAGTTTGTTTTTAATATTAAAAACTTTCTACAAAATTTCATAATTTTCAGAGGTCAAACAAATATTTTGCAAATATTTTAGTCAAGTCATTAAAACCAGTTTCAGCATATATCAGAAAGCGGTCGACCGGCCCGGTCGACCGCACATATGATCTTTCCTTACTGGGTTCCAGAGAGGTCGTCGGTCGACCGGTGCGGTCGACCGAACATCGGTCGACCGCGCCGGTCGACCGAAAATGCTTCTGCTCGTTTTCTAAGTTTTCTTAAGTGTTTGCGGTCGACCGAATTTTCGGTCGGTCGACCGAAGTATTTTTTGGTCGACCGAAAGTTCTTTTCGGTCAACCGATTTCCTCTTTTGTCAGCTGCGACTTTTTAAACGGTCGTTTGCCTGTAACCTGGATTACTGTGCTTACACTTAATAGTGTTTGGCACAGTCTGAGGTCAGGTGCTGATAAAAGAGATTATTTACTAATTTGAGAAGATTGTTTCTTTGTTTTTAATTGATAAATCTCTTCTATAAAAACCCCAGTCTTCCTCTTCTTCAAGTGCCCCAACGTTTGCAAAAACCAGAGAGCTCTGTTTTCCTGAGAAAATTTTCAAATCTGCTTTTCTCTGTGTTTTTGTGTGTGATTCACTTCCCAGCTTCAGTAACCTTTCTCTTTGCCATAGGGGTTGTGTAAAGAGAGAGTCTTGCATCTTTTCTTCTGCTGTGAGGGTGAGATCTTGTGTAAGATCTACTGTGAGGGTGTGATCTGTTGAGATCAAACTGTGTAGTGAGAGAGATCGTGTGGGATCGCTGTGTAGACGAAGTTCCGGCTTCCAAACCGGGTGTGTAGTGGATTTCTCCTCGAGAGTGGGGAGCGGGGACGTAGGTCAGAGGACCGAACCTCGTTAACACATCGCGCGTCAAGGATAACGATTCCTAACCCTCTCTTATTTACTTTGCTTGCATCAGTTTACTGTGGATTGCTTGTCAATTGTTTTTATTGCATAATTAGAGCCTCTTGACCCTAATCACCCCCCCTCTAGGGTCCAACAACTTGAGTATCATAGTTGAGAAAGCTTCCTTTCCCAATCGCTTGGTGAACACATCTGCAAGTTGATTTGTTAAGGCAACATGTTTGGTTACAACTGAACCATCTTGTATTTTG